TCATTCAACCTAACGCTTTATTAAAGAAAATAAAAACATGAAGTGAGTCTTCTTTATTTAGCAATAAATTTCTTCAAACCATGGCGGCGACGCCTTGCGACTTGGGCGTTTCCACCGTGAACTCGTACTTCTGGCCGCGCACCACGGCGTACATCTTGTCGGGCGCGATGTAGTCGCAGGTGCGCTCGATGCGGAAGGGCTGGCCGGGAATCTGATCGCCTGAGTGGATCTGCACGCCCGTGATGACGGCGTAGTCCGCCGTGGCGGGGTTCACCGTGAGCGAGATGAGCTTCTCCAAGTCCTCGTTGATCGCCGCCAGCGCCGCGCGCGTCACGTCCACCAGCGACTGGTTGCCGCCCGGCGACACCTGCGGGGCGAGATGAGGAGGCGGGATCAAATGTGCGAGGTTTTAATTCCAAGTCTTTATGGCTAACCATTAGCTCTTCATGTTTATTTCTTGTGTTAATGGCCCTGAAACGAGGCAGTTTTTAAATTACGAACGTGTTCGTACCTTGGCCATGATCTTCTTGCGCAGCAGCGTGTACTCGGGGTCGTCACTGTCCATGCTGGGCGCCACGCCGTTGTTGATGTCGTTGTTGATGGCGATCAACGCGCCGCACGCGCTCGACGGCTTGCCGCGACCGCGACGCAGCAGAGACCCCACCTCGCCGGACTCACCGATGGACACGTGCGGGAACGCAAAGAAGATGTCTGCAGGGAGGAAACACAGACAGAAGTAAATTAGAGGGTTAATCAGTGAAAGGGCACAGCTCAGCTGGGTATGCGATCGGGTACAATAACAGGAGAAGTGGGCAGCAATATGAGGAAACGCGACTGGAAGGCTCGTAGTGGCAAACAGGAAAATCAGCACTATGTATGTATTGAGAGCCCAAACGTACATCTCTCCTTGAGGTTGCCGTCGACGTCGCAGGGGAACTCGGGCGAGTGGCTCATGGCAGCTCCGAAGCCGACCTTGCCGCAGTTGACGAGCCCGCCCAGCCCCGAGATGTTGAAGCTCAGCCCGAATTCGCGGTCGATGATGCTCACCACGGGCCGGCACACCTCGTCGCGGCACGTGTTCACCAGCGCGATGCCGTTGTCCTTGCGGAACCCCAGCTTCGCCAGCTCCACTGCCACGGCCTTCAGGAAGGCCTCCTCCTGCATCGCCGACGGGAACGTCGTCGCCATCGTCGCCAGAGCGGACGCCGCCGCGTGCTTCGCGCGCGGGACGATACCGCTGGGCGGCGCGGGTGTTGAGGCGGGGGCGGAGGCGGCGGCGGCGGGTGCGGCGGGTGCGGCGGGAGCGGCGGCGGGAGATGCGGTGAGCTTCTTCACGGCGACGTAGGTTGCGGCGCCAAGAGCACCGGCGCCGACGATGGCGGGAAGGAGGGCGGTGGCGGCAGGAGCGGCGGGAGCGGCGGTGGACTGAGAGACGCTCGCGAACTGGTTGTCGGCGCTGACCATGGTGACGACGCTTGTGCGACCGTTACCGCATTTCGCGCACGTCATGCAGGTGCATGTTTGAGCGGCAGAGGCGGAAAGGGCCTTCTGGGCCTTGAGGCCGGAGAACCCAGGGATTGCCGCGCGGGAGGAAGAGGGGAGGGTTGTACCCTCTGGGATCGAGAGGGAGCGAAGGGTGGCGGATGCCGAGGAAGAGAGAGTCGCGGCCATTGTGTGAGAGCGTCGTGACAAGAAGGCGCCTTAAAATGCGGGAGTATGTACAGAAGCGCTTTGGTCAGCGACGCTAGACGGAATGTGTGAATTGGATTGAGCAAAATGTCGGAGTGGTATTATATGCTGTCAAGCAATTAGGTGTTGCAACCTGCCCCCAGTATTCCAGGTATGAATTGAGGAGGCACTGACAAAATTTGGCGACTTGTTCCGAATTTCGTCCAGGAATCTGGCATTCGCAGGGGTGATCAATGTTTTGAAGAGAGGGGGGTTGAAGTGGGAAATTCTGATAGGCTTTGATGAGCGGTTCCAGCCTTGCTTGCCGATGAGTGGTTTGATGAGTGACGCACATTGGAATTCCAGCTCGGAGGCGTGGCCACGTCGGATGGGGGGAAAAAGAAGTGGCTCCAAACAGAACTGGTTCTCGTGGTGCGACTTGTGACATTTCCCCTTTCCAATTTGCCGCATTTCAGGGTGGTGTGGAGATTGGTGTCGTGCCCTATCAAAGGAGAGGATTTGGCTTGAATGAACCACGGAGACTGGGACATATTCCTCGTCAGGTGTTTCAGAGTGGAAAATGTTCGCAATATAGAGAAACTCCTCCCGTCGCATCTCTGTCGGTATTGTGAGAAATTCCAAAAAGTTATGTCATTGTATGGGCTACTTGTGCATCTTGCAAGCACAAACAAACATCATTCCCGTCGCATCACCGCTACACTCTTCCATGAACCATGGTGAAAGGAAAATTGGTGTAAATAGAACACACAAACATTGGTCATGTGGAGCTGTGCAATGTCAGCAGCTGTCTAAGGAGGACACGGACATCAATGGATGTTCAATCTATCACATTTGCTAGCAGATGACACTGAAAAAGATGTTGAGAATGAGTTAGGTTACATTCCTGCGGGGACATTTGTCTCACAACAATCCCAATTTTCACCCCTGGTACCCCTCTGTACCGAATCAAAATTGGGATTGTGACACAACTGTCCCCGGAATGTACCTTAAGCATCTATGCAGTCAAGAGTAACTTCGCATATTCTGTCTTTATAACCTGTTCTTTCACTACTCACGATTCACAAGTACAAGCTGAGGTCAATCTTCTCGCCTGTTAGATGCGATACGAGCGCTGCGCCCAAAGAGTAGAGGGGCAAGCACAGACAGGGACATGCATGCAGCGTTGAGAGCATGAGGAGCATGAGGCAAGCACAGACAGGGACATGCGTGCAGCGGCAAGGGCATAAGGAGTACGAGGCAAGCACGAATAGGGACATGCATGCAGCGGCAAGGGCATAAGGAGTATGAGGCAAGCACAGACAGGGACATGCATGCAGCGTTGAGAGCATGAGGAGCATGAGGCAAGCACAGACAGGGACATGCGTGCAGCGGCAAGGGCATAAGGAGTACGAGGCAAGCACGAATAGGGACATGCATGCAGCGGCAAGGGCATAAGGAGTATGAGGCAAGCACAGACAGGGACATGCATGCAGCAGCAGGGGTATAAGGATTACGAGACAAGCACGAATAGGGACATGCATGCAGCGTTGAGAGCATGAGGAGCATGAGGCAAGCACAGACAGGGACCAGCAGCAATGTCTACTCCATGCTCTGATTGACGGCAAAATGTTTTCTTTTTGTTCGTTCTTGCCCCTTAGGAAGGAAGGGCGCCGGCAGCAATACCCCTGCAAGATAGCAATACCCAATCGATGCACTGCAGATTCACGTTGTTTATCCCATGGCTGCAATCTGTACAAATGTGGGAGAGCCAAATCAAACGTACCTTGGCTGTAGTCCTTACAATCGTTAGGAAACACCATCAGCAAATCAAGTGTGCAACGTGGCATTTCGTGATTAGGCGTCATTTTACGTACGTACCTTGGCTGTAGTCTCTGCAATCGTTGGAGAAAACCGTGAGGTCAGTGCGCCACGTGGCGTTGAACGATTGGACAGCATCGAGCGTGTCAGAGTGAGCAGACGAGCCGATGCACCAGCAGCGGCGGGAGGGGAGGGAGGAGAGCGGGCGTATTAGCAGATAACCTGGAAATCGAGGGACAGTGGGATGGTGAGAGGGAGGGAAACGGAGCAATGGGGCAATCTGACCCAGCCAGCAGACGAGCCGACGCACCAGCAGCGGCGGGAGGGGAGGGAGGAGAGCGGACAAATGAGCATATAGCCTGGAAATGGCGGGACAGTAGGATGGCAAGAGGGAGGGAAACGGAGTAAGGGGGATTTTTGACAGCGCGAGCAGACGAGCCAACACACCAGCAGGGGAACGAAGGCAGGGTGGGGAACAGTGGTCAAACGAGCAGGCAGTCTGGGGGGCGTTAGGAGGGAGGAAGGAGGGAAGTGAAGTGGCAGATGCAAGTGCATGAACGAGTTTATAGCCTGACGGCAATCGGCAGGGAGAGGGGGGGAAGCATGGGACATGGCATGGGACATGGGACATGGGATGAGGCATGGATGGCATGGGACACAGCATGGGACATGGCATGGGGCATGTGGGCACCTGGCAGCCAACCACGTGGCACAGGTGCAGTGCATGGATGGAACATGGTAACCCATGGCATGTCGCATGTGGGCAAGACATGGGAAAAGGCAAGGCATGGGAAAAGGCAAGGCATGGGAAAAGGCAAGGCATGGGAAAAGGCAAGGCATGGAAAAAGGCAAGGCATGGAAAAAGGCAAGGCATGGAAAAAGGCAAGGCATGTGAAAAGGCAAGGCATGTGACAGATGCAGATTCTACCCACCAACCAGGCGCAGGCTGCAGCTGTCACCCACCCACGCACTCACACATACACACACCCACCCACACACACACCCACGCACTCACACACTCACCCACGCACTCACACACCCACCCGCCCACTCACCCACTCACTCACCCACCCACCCACCCACCCACCCACCCAACCAACCAACCACCAGGCACAGGCTGCAGCGCCAACACTCTGAGAGGCACTCCCATGTCCTGCTAGCTCCCACCCGCCCACGCATGCACCCACCTACCCGCCAGTACCACTGACTGAGAACAGCACAACCCACCCACCCACCCACCCACCCACCCACCCACCCACCCACCCACCCACCCACCCACCCACCCACCCACCCACCCACCCACCCACCCACCCACCCACCCACCCACCCACCCACCCACCCACCCAGGCCATGCACACAACTCACCAGGCACAGGCTGCAGCGCCTTTTGAGACGTCTCAAAAGTCGCACACGACTCACCAGGCACAGGCTGCAGCGACTTTTGAGACATCTCAAAAGTCGCACACAACTCACCAGGCACAGGCTGCAGCGCCAGCACTCTGAGAGCCACTCCCATGTCCTGTGGGTCATCCGGCCTGAAGTCAAACAGGTAGCACTGGAGGGAGGGGGGAGGTGGGGGAGGAGGAAGGGGGAAGGGGGAAGGAAGAGGAGAAGAACGTGTGTAGAGAACAACAGGCTTAAAACCCGAAACCCCAAACAGGCTTAAAGCCAGGGTGCACTGCACTTTCACCTGGGTGGGCATCAGCGGTTAACCTTTGATGCCCACAATACGGTCAATTTTTTTTTGTTCCCCATCCCCCGCGATTTTTTTATGTGCACCCCGGCCTGAAGTAAAAGAGGTGATCACGAAATCTCAAATCCCATATCTCGCAGGTTATCCAGCCTGACGTAAAAGAGGTAGCACTGGGGGGAGGGGAGGAGGAAAGGAGGGGAAAGGTGGGCGGGAACAACTGAGGGCCTTCACCCCCTTTGGGTCATGTGAGTGCCACCTGCATGTTCTGTGGGTCATCCGGCCTCAAGTCAAAGAGGTAGCGCTAGGGGGAGGGAGGGGGGGAGGAGCGCGGAAGGGGAGAGGGGAGAAGGAGAGCAGAGGAAGGCGAGGTGAAGGAGGAAATGATATTTTGTTATCATTTCCAGTGCTCGCCCACCTTTCCAGGAAATAAGAGCAGAGCAGATCAGAGCTGAGCAGAGCAGAGATGAGCAGAGCTGAGCAGAGCAGAGCAGAGCAGAGCAGAGCAGAGCAGAGCAGAGCAGAGCAGAGCAGAGCAGAGCAGAGCTGAGCTGAGCTGAGCTGAGCTCCAGTATCTCCTCTCCAGTGCCTTCTACTGAAAGGCTGTTCATACAGCCTTTAAGAAGTGTTTTGAGACGTCTCAAAACACTTCTTCAAACACGTGGCTATTCTTCTACTGAAAGGCTGTTCATACAGCCTTTAAGTAAAAGAGGCAGGACTGGGGAGAGGGCGGAGGAGGGGTACGGAGGAGGGCAGAGGAGGAAGGCCTCAACATCTCAAAGGCTGGGGAGGGAGGAGAGAATGGGAGGAGAGAATGGGAGGAGAGAATGGGATGAGAGAATGGGAGGAGAGAATGGGAGGAGAGAATGGGAGAAGGGGGAGGAGGAGGAGAAGGAGGAGGAGGAGGAGGAGGAGGAGGAGGAGGAGGAGGAGGAGGAGGAGGAGGAGGAGGAGGAGGAGGAGGAGGAGGAGGAGGAGGGAGGGGGGGAGGGGGGAGAAGGTGGGGGGAGGAGGAAGGGGGGAGGATGGGGAAGCATCAGGCGGAGCACGGGGGGAAATGGGGGAACATGGGGGAAACATGGGGGCCACATGAAGTGGCCCTGGAGGAGGCATTGGGAGAACATGGAGGAACATGGGGAGACCATGGCTGAACATGGGGAGAACATGGTTGAACATGGGGAGGACATGGTTGAACATGGGGAGAACATGGTTGAACATGGGCGAGCGTGGGGAACCGGGAACATGGAGGAACATGGGGGGAACATATGGGGAACATTGGGGGAGGTGGGGAAGGGACATCCCTTTCAATCTCCCGCCTTTTCCATAAAAGCCTCACCTCTCCATTCTCTCTCGCTATAATCACCACCCAGTGACTGCACAGCAGAGGAAACAGCCGTCCTGCCACGTCAGCAACCCACTGAGGAGGTCCGGCCGGCGCATCCAATGGGATCGACGCCACGAAAACACGATCCGGCTGCTGCGGCGTTGACTGCGTTGACCCCGTTGAATTGCATATTCGCTGCAGGTCTTCGGGCTGAAGATCCCGAAAATCCTCATACAAATCTTCAGGTGGGTGTTCAGGCGATCCTTCTGCTGATTTCACCCGTACAAAACTACGTCGAGAGGGATGCCACCTGTACAAAGCTAGAGAGGACAATGTCGAAGACGACGGTCCGTCAATAGCTAGCCGGTTAACGGGAATTAGGTAACTCGTAGACCGTCGGAGTGACGGAGAGCCGATAGCGGGTGTCATGTACAGCGGAAGTATCGCCGTTGGGAACGCATTTTGCGGCTCGCGAGTGGCTCGATAAGCGTGGAGCCGCACTAACGGTTCGCTTGAAACGAGATTGGGGATCGAAGGAAATGGGACGCGAAACGGACGAGAGAAATAGATTGTGGGATGTGCTTATAACGGGGTCATTACTGGCCTGAAAGCTACTGACGAATTGCCCTCCTTGCCAGCCGTTCACGGCAATCGAAATGTGGGTGTTTGCGGTGCTGCGGTGAGGGAGAAAGGCGGGCAACTCGGCGCATGTGGCGGAGTTGACGGGGAGCGAAAGGCGGGGCATGGCGAGGCGATGATGGTGATGGTAATGGCAGTGGAGTGGGGGATATGGTTGATTGAGAAAAACATGCTTCGTATAAGCTCATGCTTTAGCAACTACGGTAATGGTTTTGTCCTCCTTACACATACGTGCAAGGAAACTTGAAAGCTTTCTAGTTTCCATAATTTATATCGGTAAAAAAGAATTACTTGCAGAGCAATGTGAATATCGATCGCTATGGTAACGATTTGGAGTCAGAATTGCAACTTGGACCTTTCGGCAGCACAAGGGATGTAAGGAATTTTCCCGAATTCCTTATCGGGGTTGACTGCTTCGCGTACAACCCGATTATCGGAGTTCGCACGTTCGGCCGATTTCAACGCTGCCGAGGCTCCTCACGTCGCCTTCGGCTTTCCCATCGCCAAACCTGCACCCAACCTCGCTCGTCCGAGGTTTCCTCCTAGCTAGAGTAGTCCTACATTAGTCTGTGCATTCATTGTATGCGTAGTTGATTCAGTCACAGCTTCGTTATTCGTTTACTTGCACACTCTCTTTTACAACTCATAAGAAGGGACCACTAGTGACAACCCTGGACAACGCAGACAAAAGGTTTGGATGCAGGGAAGATTTGGCAGGATTGTAACTCAACTCGTTTGAATTATACAAGCTCGCAAATGACCCACTAATTCTGGATGACGTGGAAATTCAAGGACTCTTTGAGTCATCAGCCTTTTTCCTGTTATTGGCTATCAATGCTGTGCGTTTCACAGCCACCAGAATTGTAATCCTCTGTAGCTAGCAGAAAGAAAATTCGCCAGCGGACAGTTACACTGACGACAGAGTCAGCCACGGATGCTTGTTTCTGTCAATGAGACTTCTTGTCTGCGTCCCATAGATTCCGCGTGAATCTCCAATTGAGTTGGTCTGCTTGGCTGGTTGGTCCCTTTCGGTTCAGCTGTGCAAATGGGCAGGACTTGTCCCTTTCGATTTGATTCGCACTCAGCCCACATCATTGGATGAAGCCCAATCCCCGCAGCGCAGCCCGCCTCTTCCGTCAACCGCACACCCATGTTGATTTGCTTGGCTCAGCGCGCTTCGTTCGCAATCGCAAAGTTTCTCGAGTCGCTGGTCCCCTTGTGACGTCTCTCATTTCAACCACATCCATGTTGTCGCCCTTCAGGTTACCGACACAGCTTGGCCTCGTCTACCTCGCGTCATCTCGCATTTTCGAGCCTCGGATCGCCACCAATCTCCAATTTCCACCTGCTGGGCGACGTCAGGTAGCTTCTGTACGCTTAACTTCGTTTCGTCACGGTGCAAAAACGGTCAGCCTTGAGAACCGCTTCCCACCCTGTGAAAATGTTGTGAACCACGATAAAAGATGTGCAATGAATGTACAGCCTCACGTCGCCCAGGCTCGACAATCCACTACATGTACAGCACCACGCCCCTTTTCCTCGACCTCTTTGCCCACCAATTCAACGTTTTCCTCTTGTCAACAACACATGCTACGCGTCTGTTGCTGAACTTTTCACGTCGCTCTTTCCCATCCCACCCATCCCATCCCATCCTCCACGACTTCGATCGACCCACGTTAACTCAAGCAACCATGAGATAAATGTCGCTTCACACCTACGCACAAATTTCCATCTCGTTTCCCAACGCTCCCCTTTGCTTGACGCACTGGAGCAAGTTAGCTTCTCACGTCGAAGCTAGTATCTTTCTCTACAGCCTGTAGACTGATTGGACCGTCAAGTACCTTTTCTTCCATTCCGGGGCAACGCGGCGTCGTCCAGGTGCTTATTTCGATCCCTTGAGTGTTCCGAATGGCGATGGCGATGTCTCGATGGGGCCTCGATAAGCTCCTCCGCTCGCGAAGCAGCGACAAGCTCGTCTCGCTCCTTCTCCCCGACGGCAGCATGGAGATGTTCGGCGGGGGAAAGACCGTCGCGGATATCATGGCGGAATATCCGGACCACCATGTCGGCAGTATCACTTCCTCACGCCCGTGTCTCGCGCCGGAAAAGTCGCTTCACCCTGGCAGCACGTACTATCTTGAGCCTAAGCAGCCACCGTTGAAAGGAGCCAAGTCTCTCCCTTCCAACAACGAGGGTTTCAAAGGATTTCGACTTGACAGCGATCGCAATGATAGGCCCGCACCGCGCCGTGCTCGCAAGGAGACGAGGAAAGACGAACGGAAAGGGGAAGCTTTTACTGAAAATGGACAGGCGTCGGGCTTCATTCCGCGCCGCATGTCGCTCGATACCGGAGCGCTCTTCAGCCGCCAACAAAGCGCCGATGCCGCTGCCCTTGCCGCCGCGGTCGCTGCTTCTTCTGCCATGCGTCATTCCGACTACGTTTTCAATGCCACGTCGGACGACGACGACGAGGAGGAGACGATCTCGCCGTTTCAGGCTACCAACCGTGTCGCGTCGCGACGCGCGTCCCTCTCCGACGCGGCATCCGCTAGATCCGCCGCCGCGTCGCTGGCCGAAGCGCGCCAGCTCTGGCAAGATGAGACGACCATGCGCCGTCACTCCCAGCCGATGCGCGTAAACTCACTCAATAGTCTTATAAGTATTCATGGCGATCATGGCGGTGCGTTCAAACGGCTACGGCGCCGAAGCAGGCCAGCTGAGTCCAGTCCCCCAGTTTGAGCGCCAGCTGTCGTGCGGCCGCTCCTGCGGAGGCTGCACGAGCGGGGCTGGAAGCATGCGCTCGTCCCGCTGCCCCTCGCCGGCTCCGCCAGTCCGATCCGCTTCCGCCGCCGCTTTCCCCGACTTCGAGGGCGGCGACATCGCCAGAGGCTGCGCCCTGGATTCCGCCGATGGCGCAACCGGCGGAAGGAGCAAGCGGCGCGCGCTGCACCGCGGCGCAGGCAGTGCGCAAGATGGATCTGCACGGTCCGCTTTTCCGGATTATGACGCTTCGGCGGCGGCGGCGGCATGTGGGCTCGTCCCGTCACCGTCGCCGCCTCCGCCGGGGTTGGCGCAATGGCAGCAGCAGCAGTCCTTTTCAAGATCTGCCACCTACAGCCGCAGCGATTCCCGCGAAATCGACTTCCAGCGCGACCCGCGGCCTGCGCCGCGCGCGCGGTGCCCCTCCGCGCCGTCGACGCCCGTCCGCCGAACGAGTCTGGACCGCCGCGCAATGAGGGCGGGGCTTCCGCACCCCGCGGACGCGTCCGTCGCCGTGGCGTCGCTCCGCGTCCGGAGCCCAACGGCAGGTGCTCGGAGCCTGTTCACAGCGATCGACTCGGACTGCGAAAGCCAATGCGACGATGGGGAGATCGCTGACGAGGAGGGGAGCGTGAAGTCGGGTTGCTCGTTGCCTTCGCCACAGGATGCGGCAGCGGCGGAAGAGAGGCGGAGGGAGAGAGAGAAGCGGGAATGGATGATGATGCAGCGGCAGATGATGCGTCAGGAGCACATGCAGCACCAGCAGCAGCGGCAGCAGCAGCGGCAGCAGCAGCCGGCAGCAGCAGCAGCAGCAGATGCAGTATCATCAGATGCAGCTGCAGATGTTTCCCCAGCAAAGAGCGTCCTCTCCTAGACTCCACCAGCAGTACCACAACCAGCAGCAGCAACAACCCCGTCTTTCCCGCCGGCTTGCCAACTCAGCATCCGGTCGGTCAGCTGGGCTACCACCACGTGCCGTCTCGCCACTTCCTCCGATCCCCGCAAACCACGTGTCGCCTCCCAACTCGTGTGATTTCCTGTGCAGCCCTGGGGCTGCACCAGGCTCGCTAAAGAGCAGCGAGATGACAAGGGATGGAGGTCTTATTACAGAGGAGTCAAGAAGCCAATCTTGTGCATCGCTCAGCAACTTGAGTGCGGAGTTTGTTGTGCCACCGCAGTCGTCTGGCATGTCTTCTTGGGGTTCTTATCCCAACTTAGAGTCCTTTGGGGAATCCTTGTCACCTGAAGGATCCTCCTTGGCAGCCAACTCCCCTAGACAGCAGATTTAATTTTGCTTGATAGCAGAGTCTTCTGTATTGTTTGTGCCTTACCATGTACGGTGCCTTCAATTGAATTATAATTTATAATAGCAACATAACGCTTTCTAAGCGATGAAGTGTTCACCATGTAAAACTCTAATTTCTTCACTCTGGACTTATCATCAAGCTGGTTTAGTTACATTTTCTTTTAATTGGAATGGCTTATGTGTAGATTCAATCAGTTCAAAGGCCTTGGTGTATTCTGGTTCTTGAGATGGAAGGTCTGATTCGCGTATAAGCTGCCGCCAATCACAACCCCCGCGCATGGATTTTTCCTCCTCGAAATTGCCACTCCGGATTCGCTGCACGAACTCCCCGGAAACTTGGAGCCTCCCCATTCGCTGTGCCCGCACGCGCGGAAATTCGCGCGGTAGCTCTGTGTAGCGGGAGGATCCTAAACTGGGGATTAGCGGAAGCGGTGTTTGTGAACAGGCGGAATTTTCAAGGTTTGCTAAGGGGTGTTTTGTCAGCAGGCAAATGAAAGGAACAGTCAGCCTTTAGCCTCATAGTATCAGTGAAATCCTCTTCTTCCTAAAGCGACCTTGTATTCGTGGTGTCACTACAGGCCAATTAGGTCGAGGGGTTCGCGTTACTGTTAGTACCCAATTTTAAATTACGGTACCCTCGGCCTGGCTGGTCTTTAGGAGCTTTCAGGATGTCTTCAGCTCGGTTTTATGCCGGATCAGTTGTAGCTCGGTCCGCCTTACATGGGCTAGAAAATTCGGAGCATAGCCACTCCAAGAAGGGTGGTATTTGCCCGGTTGAGAACACGAATTCATGGAGCATCTCTGTCCATCATTTATGGTCCCTCCATTGGTCACAGCGTCATTCCAGCAAATAGAGTGCATCAATCATGCCGGCCAGTTTGTGCGATTCCTCCATTGGTCGAGTCGCCAGCAGCCAATCCCGAAGCAGCGTTTGCTAACACTGAGGATTTCACAAAGGCAGGCGGCTCTGACCTGCATTACGTCCAGATGCAGGCTACCAAGCCGATGGAGGATCAGCCAAAGATCGCCAGCAAGGTATATGAATGCGGGAATTGCTCTGAATGTGTTTTGATTCGTCTCAAAACACGTCTCAATTTCACCAAGGCAGGTGGTTCCGACCTGCATTATGTCCAGATGCAGGCTACCAAGCCGATGGAGGACCAGCCAAAGATCGCCAGCTAGGTACTTGAATCCAGAAGTTGCTGCGAAAATACGGGAATGTTAAGAATCTGTACACAAGACGTTGAAAGTTTAAGGCCTAAAAGTAATGTGATAAGGATTTCAAGGCCAAACTTGTTCTCGTCTCTCTTTACCCTTCCCGCTCGTCACCCGCACAGCTCCTCCCTCTAGACACCAAAGAGTCATCGGTGCTCGACGTATTGGTGGTCGGCTGTGGGCCCGCAGGGCTCTCTATCGCGGCAGAGTGCGCCAAGCGCGGACTCACGGTGGGGCTGGTGGCCGAGATGCACCCTTCCGTCAACAACTATGGCGTCTGGCTCGACGAATTCAAAGGTAAGCGACTGCTGGGACGTCTCAAATGTCATGTCTTTCGTCGGAGCCGTTGTCAAACGCGGACCTTTTGTCACAACTCCGGCGTCTGGCTCGACAAATCCAACCAAGTGTGGACGACACCCATCCTATACACACCGCCTAAAAAATGTTCCCTTCTCAAATCTTAACTGAAAATCATTCATTCCGTCTCAATCCTCTCACACTCCGTGCCGCATTGGGATGGACCCACAGCATCGATCAAGTTTGGACCCGACACCATCTGTGGACAACCGTGCTTGGATGTAACCATCCTCTCTCCGCCACTGCTCCCCAAGCTAATCATCTGCCTCCTCTGCTCCCATCCTCCCCACACTCCGTGCAGCCATGGGTTGGACCAACTGCATGACCAAGTGTGGACCGATACTATTCTATACACAGACTCCGATGTTCCCATCACCACGGGAGGGCGTATGCGAGTAGAGCGCTCAAGACCCACAACGAGCTCGTTCTGAGGTTAGAATATACCTGTGACTTCTTATAGCGGCGCCAGAGACGCATGGTCTGGATTTTTACAGCTCTGCTGTATTTCCCGGCCAAGTAAGTTGTGTGTCGTGCAGCAGAAAGGTGCCAATTCCTGCTGCGAGCAGAGGGTCCGCCACATCACTTTTGAGAATTCTCGAAAGTGATTCCAGGAAGTTGTGTGTCGTGCAACAAAAAGGTGCCAATTCCTGCTGCGAACAGAGGGTCCGACCATCAGCTCTGGCCTCCTGTTTGTCAACTCCATCACAGGCGTCGTATGATATGATGGTGCAAGATGTCTTGAGTCGTGTTTTTGTGCCTTACCAGGTGGCAAGATCTTCGCTGCCCTTGATCACCCTGCCCCCGGGTGCCAGCAGGCGGGAGTGTGGTATGTGGAGGAGGAGGTGGAGAGCATAGAGGACAATGCGCGGCTAGCAGCAATGAAGTTTGTATCAATTCAACAGCCACAATCTACCTGTTTCCGAATGCTCTATTGCTAGCCCTGTTCGCCACACCAGATGTCAGGCAGGCGGGACAGTGCGATATGTGGAGAGGGAGGCAGTGAGCATAGAGGATGATGCACGGAGCAGCACAGTAGCGTTTGAGCCTACTCAGCAGCCACATTCGCCCTGTTATCGCATCATTCCTTGCTCGCCCTACCCACCAGATGCCAGCAGGCTGGGAGTGCGGTATGTGGAGAAGGCGGTGGAGAGCATGGATGACGATGCACGGAGCAGCTCAGTGGCGTGCACTCGATGGGTCAATCATCAACAGCAGGTGAGCTAGCGTGGGAGTACCAGACTGGAAAGGTGAGCACCTGGAATCTGGAGAGGTACACTTCTCATGCATTGGATCATGTCAGAGCAGCACAGTGGCATGCACTGATGGCTCTCGCACCAACAGCAGGTGAGCTAGCCTGGCAGTGCCTGATAGCCCGCACAATGAGCACTTTGGTATGAGAATTTGCGGCACTTGATCGCATCGGAGCAGCACAGTGGCATGCACTGATGGCTCTCGCATCAACAGCAGGTGAGCTGGGCTGGTGGCAGCACCAGACTAGGGAGAATAAAATGCACATGCAAGGGGCACTCTCATGCGTTGTATCTATTTAGTGGAGCACAATGGGGAATGCTGATTGCTCTCCTCTATTTTGAGTCGACTCAAAACACACATAGATAAAGTTTCTCATGCAATGGGCAATCTCGTGCGCTGTCTCTATTTAGTGGAGCAACATGGCGTATGCTGGTTGCTCTCCTCCGTTTCTTTCATCCTCATATCCGGCCATGAAACAGGCTCGTTGTGGTGGCGGCTGGAGCAGCTTCTGGGAAGTTTCTCAAGTACGACAATGACACGAGAGGCGTGGGCGTGCAAACAGCATACGGCATCGAAGTGGAGGTATGAAGTTGAGCGTGAAGGATGCATGGGACTGAACCTGCAGATTTGAAATTCTGGTTGCGGCATGGCTACTCAAAGTTAGAGTTTTGCAGCAGTCCTAAGATTCTGTGTTTCTCCCCTCCACAGCTAGAGCCCAAAATGCAGAACCAGCATGCTCATTCACGGACCACCGGGACGTCACACGCTCCAGCACGATGCGTTTTCCCACGCTATGCCTGTTAGAATAAAACTTCATCTCTGCAATAGAAAAAGCCATTACGCTTGCCTGGTGCTTTCTCCCTTTCTCCCCGCAGCTGGACTCTGACCTCACACGCTCCACCGAGGAGCAGGCATGGGAGAAGAGGGGGATATGACATGCCTTCTGACAGTCTTCCTACAATTCCTTTCCCGTTTTTCCTGTTCTCCCTCTTCCACCTGCAGCTGGACTCAGCCTACCCGTACAACCCAGCCAGCATGCTGTTCATGGACTATCGGGACCTCCAACGCTCCAGGGAGGAGCTGGCAGCCGAAGGGGAGCTCTCCCAGCGCCCCAGCTTCCTCTACGCCATGCCTCCACCCCCACACGGGTGTTCTTCCAGGTGGGAGCAACAGAAAGTTCAGCTCGTTCCATGCTTGTTTAAATCAGATGTCATGACAAGTAGGCAGCCGAGGGGAGCTCTCCCAGCGCCCCAGATTCCTCTACGCCATGCCTTCCATTCCACCCCCACACGGGTCTTCTTCCAGGTGAGGGCAGCAGAATGTTTGGATATGAAACTCAAAATTCTAGGCCCCCCTGCACCCAGCGCCCATGTTACTTCGTCACGAGGAGTAGGCAGCCAAGGGGGAGCTCCCTCCCAGCTCTCTCAGCGCCCCAGCTTCCTCTACGCCATGCCTTCACCCCCACACGGGTCTTCTTCCAGGTGAGGGCAATGCATTTTATGTCTCGTTCTATCTCGTACCGTGTCACGAGGAGCAGGCAGAGGAGAGAGTGCTCCCTCAGCGCCCCAGCTTCCTCTACGCCATGCCTTCCACCCCCACATGGGTCTTCTTCCAGGTGAGAGGGCACTGGAATGCTCAATCTCTTGTATGCTTGTCTAACCTCCATGAGAAACAGGCAGCCAAGGAGAAGCTCTCCCAGCGCCCCAGCTTCCTCTACGCCATGCCTTCTGCCCCCCCTTTCTCCCACTCCCCTTTCCCTCCTCCCCAACCCGCGCCTCCCTGGGTAACAGGAGACGTGCCTGGCGTCCCGCCCTGCAATGCCGTTTGACATGCCTCCAGTGCCTCCTTTTTCTCCCTTCCTCTCTGTTCTTCGTCATCTCTTCTCCCCCCTCCCTCGACCCACGCCTCTCTGGGTAACAGGAGACGTGCCTGGCGTCCCGCCCTGCAATGCCGTTTGACATGCTTCCAAAGCTTCCCTCTGCTTCTCCTCTTCTCCTCCCTCCGTCTCCCCTTTTTCCATCCACCCGCTCATTCTCTCATAACAGGAGAGTGCCTGGCGTCCCCGCCCTGCAATGCTGTTTGACATGCTCAAGACACACGCCTGCGCAGCCGACTGGCACAGCTGGGGGTCAAGGTCAAATACACTTTTCTCCCTTTCTCCCACTCCCCTTTTCACCCCATCCCCAACCCACGCCTCCCTTGGCAACAGGAGACTCGCCTGTCGTCGCGCCCTGCTATGCCACTTGACATGCTTGAAAAGCTTTTCTCCGTCTCCCGTTTCACCCATTCCCCTTCCCCTCCCCTTTCCCCCCCCACCCACACATAACTCGCAACAGGAGACGTGCCTGGCATCCCGCCCTGCAATGCCGTTTGACATGCTCAAAACGCGCCTGCGCAGCCGGCTGGCACAGCTGGGGGTGAAATACACCGTGACGCACGAGGAGGTGAGAGCCGTGTCTGACCGTCCTCTTCAGAGTGATTGTTTGATTGTTGTTCTTCGCTCATGTAGTGACTGCAGCCAGCTGGCACAGCTGGGGGTGAAATACACCGTGACGCACGAGGAGGTGAGAGCCGTGATTGGCCGTCCACTTGAGGTGATTGTTTGAATGTTGTATGGTAAATCAAAAGCGCCTGCGCCGGCTGGCACAGCTGGGGGTGAAATACACCGTGACGCATGAGGAGGTGAGCCGGTGCCTTCATTTCTCCTGCAAAATGATTGCTTAAACCACCAACATTCCTCCAATTTGCCGTTTGAGTGTTGTGGGAGAGGTGTGCTTAACTTGAACACACATTGGTTTTCCCTTCTGCCACGTCCCATCCACCTGTTCGCCACCTGTTTCCCACCCTGTTTCCCTCTCCCCTTTCGCCCTCCGGCAGAAGTGGTGTTACATCCCAGTGGGCGGCTCTCTCCCTCACACCACGCAGCAGCACCTGGGCTTTCCCCATCCCTGCTTACCACGCCCCTGCCCTCCCTCACCCCTATTCCCTTCTCCCCTTCGCCCCACCTACCAGGAGTGGTCCTACATCCCTTTTGAGACGTCTCAAAAGTTCTCCCCTTCGCCCCACCTACCAGGAGTGGTCCTACATCCCTTTTGAGACGGCTCTCTCCCTTCGCCCCACCTACCAGGAGTGGTCCTACATCCCTTTTGAGACGTCTCAAAAGTTCTCCCCTGCCCCACCTACCCTGGTCACATCCCTTACGTCTCAAAGTTCCCCTTCGCCCCACCTACCAGGAGTGGTCCTACATCCCTTTTGAGACGTCTCAAAAGTTCTCCCCTTCGCCCCACCTACCAGGAGTGGTCCTACATCCCTTTTGAGACGTCTCAAAAGTTCTCCCCTTCGCCCCACCTACCAGGAGTGGTCCTACATCCCTTTTGAGACGTCTCAAAAGTTCTCCCCTTCGCCCCACCTACCAGAGTGGTCCTACATCCCTGTGGGCGGCTCTCTCCCTCTTACCACGCAGCAGCACCTGGGCTTTGGTGCTGCTGCGTCCATGATTCATCCTGCCACAGGTAAGCACCACCAACTCTCAAGATTGGATACTCTTACGAACCATCGGAGATTGGATATTCTGAAGCACCAACTTCTTGAAACCTTAGATTCTTGTCGTCACAGGTGAGCTTTTTTGCTAGGCGTTTGTTTTTTTTAAGCACCAACTTTGTGAAACGTTAGATCCTTGTCGTCACAGGTAAGCAAGCACGCAAGCACCATGTGAGTTTTGGTGATGCTGCTGCCTTGCTGCGGCTCTGCTTGTTCCTTCACTCAAATACCCCATCTCCCTTTCCTTCCCGTGTTTTCCATCCCTCTTTCCCAAATGTCCCCCCTCCCCAACAGGCTACTCTATCACTCGCTCTCTCACCGAAGCTCCCCACTATGCCACTGCCCTCGCTGCTGCTCTGCGCTCTCCCAGCCGAACTTCACTAGAAGCTGCAACTCAAGGTAGGCTGGTGTTGGGTGCTGTGGAGCTGTGGGGCTATCGAGGTGTGGGGCTGTGGGGCTATTGAGGTGTGGGGCTCTGGGCTGTGGGAATGTGGGGCTGCCCCGCTGCTGCTCTGCTCTGCGCTCCCTGCTGAACTTGGCTAGAAGCTGCAACTCAAGGTAGGTTGCTTAGTGTGGGCCTGTGAGTTACGACAGGTTCTAGGGCAGTGCGGTTGTGGGGCTGTAACACCGAGCTACCCACTATGCCACTGCTCTCGCTGCTGCTCTGCGCTCTCCCAGCCAAACTTCACTAGAAGCTGCAACTCAAGGTGCCCTGTGCCCTGGGGCCCTGTGCCCTGTGCCCTGGGCCCGTGCCCTGTGCCCTGTGCCCCCGTGCCCTGTGCCCTGTGCCCCGTGCTCTGTGCCTCTGGATTTTCAGCCTGGGACCACCTGTGGTCAGCAGAGCGCAAGAGGCAGCAATCATTCATGATATTTGGCCTCGAGCTCATTCTGCAGCTCGATGCACCAGCCACCCGAGACTTCTTCAACGCCTTCTTCAAGCTGCCCCCCAGGTGAGTTATTTAGTCGACTCAACTCAACATACAACCTTGTGGTTCGACTTAAAGACACTCATTCTGCAGCTCGATGCACCAGCCACCGAGATGTCTTCAACGCCTTCTTCAAGCTGCCCCCCAGGTGAGCCTCCCCCCAAGTGACCTGCCACTAGGTGAGCTTTGAGGCGACTCAAAACGCACCTTTGAGTTCTGCAGCTGGACGCACCAGCCACCCGAGACTTCTTCAACGCCTTCTTCAAGCTTCCCCGCAGGTGAGCTCTGGGTCAAACCGGAATACACCTTAGAGTCCAAGATGAGCTGCCCCCTACCTAGGTGACCTATTAGTGAGGTGTATTTTGAGGCGCCTCAAAATACAACGCCTTCTTCAAGCTGCCCCCAGGTGAGCTTTGGGTCAAACCGGAATACACCTTAGAGTCCAAGATGAGCTGCCCCCTACCTAGGTGACCTATGAGTCGACTCAGAATGCACTCATTTTGCGGCTCGACTCACCGGCCACTCGAGAAATTTTCAACGCCTTCTTCAAGCTGCCCCCCACACGGGATTGCCTGCTTTTGAAACTGCCTGCACATGAGTCTTTTATAAGTTTTTTTTTTGAACTCAAACAGGCATGCAATATCTTCTACGTTTGAAGAAGATAGTGTACTTAGCCTTTCAGCCTTCCAACTGTGTGAGACGCCCTTACCCTCTACTGCACCAAACCTTCTCAGTTTCCCTCTTTCCAGAGCTTACCTCTCTCCATTCTCCTCCACCCC